TATTTTCAAATATAAATTTAATCGTATAAATATTTTATAATAATTTTAACAAACCATAAATTTATTTATAACGTGATAAATTAAAGTTTTTTACGTTTTATTAATTTAACTAAATTAAATATATAGCTTATATTAGTTTTAATATATTTATTTTAATTTTTTTTAAATATTTAATATATCTTTAATTAATTAAATTTAATGTTAGACATTTTACTTTATTTATTAACACTACTTAACCTTAACGACAAAAAAAAGATTATTAAGGAAATAAAAAACGTTTTAAACAATATTATTAATAATTTTAATTATATTTCTTAACATTATATATTTTCTATTTTTAATTTAAAACTTTTTATATTTTTCCGTTTAATACCTAATAATATCAAATAATATAATTATAATTTTAACGTAAAAGATAATAATTATAATAAATATTTTTTGCTTTTATCGTTAAATTTTAATTATATAATAAAAATATACGTTTAAATAAACGACATTAAAAAACAAGTTATAATAATTAAATATATTAATAACTTTTATCTCGTTAAGATTATTATTAAATTAAAAATTAAAAATAAGCATAACGTTTAGCCCGGAATTTTATATACGTATTTAAAAACGACGGCTTTTTTTAAATAAAGAGGTAAAACGGTTATTAAAGGTTATATATTTTCAAAAATTAAATATAAATATTATTTAAAACGATTTATAATAAAAAATATTATTTTAAATTATATCGTATAATATACGACTTAAACGGCTTTAACGTTTAACATTTAAAAAAGAAATTATACTAATATTTTACTTATTATTTACATTATTAATTTAATTAAATAAATTATTAAAAAGCTTTAAAAAAATTAAAATTAATTATAAAGCTTAATATCTTTTATTATATGATTTGTATAAACTTTATAATCGGCTTATTTAAAATCGACATTTAAGGAGATTATATGGTATATACCAAGCTATAATTATTATAATTCCCTTATAACGATTACTAATAAATTTAATAAAAAGATTTTATTAATTTTTAAATATTTAACATATATTATTAAAAATTAGGCTAAAATGTTTTATAAGATATTTATTACGGTAAATTAGAATTTCCTAATAAAAATAATTATAAATAAAAACTAAAAATTTATTAATAAAATATAATAAACGTTTTAACGTTATAACAACATTAAAATTATTATAATAATAAGTTATTATGCTTAAATAAACGGCATAAATAAAAGGCATAATTAAAACGTTAAAATTATAATAAAGTTTTAATGCGTTATTTTCCTTAACATTTCCTAAAATAAAATATTAAACGTTTTTTAATATAACTTTAATAATTTTTACCATTTAATATTTAAAAAATTATTAAACGAGGTTATATTAAGCTTTAAGCCTTATATTTTATTATTTATTTTAAAAGTAAACACCGGCGTAATAAACTTTAAAATTTAATAAGACGTATATTAATAAAAAACTTAAACTATTATTAATTATGCCGCAGCTAACGTTAAAATTTATTATAATATTAAATAAAACTTTTAATAATTTGTGGGAATTGTGGGGAACAGTCACGTGACCCACATGGCCCGTGCCCATCTTTGTAGCTTACTTTAATTGGGAAAGGATCTTTAATCCTTTCCATTTTACTTAATAACTTTAACTATATTCATGATTTTAACCTTTTATTTGCAACCCACCGTGATCACGAAACCACCTTATTTATTCCAACATAATTTAACATTGGAAAAAAAGTTTTTTTTAAGTTTTATAAAAGTTATTATTTATTTAAAAAACTAAAATAAAAATAATTTAAATAACGTATAAATCTTTTTACGGTTATAAAAAAAATTAAGGATTTAATTTATAAGTTAAATTTTTTATAACATTAATAAATTTATTATGTCGTTTTAATCGTCCACTTTACTCCTATATTTATTAATATAAACCCTTAATTAAAACGCCGGCTAAAGTTAAACTAAGTTTTTATTAACGGAAATAACGACGATTTAATTTCATATAAAATTAAAAAACTTAAAAAACGTTAAATTAACCGCATTAAAAGGCGCCTTATATTAAAATATTTAATATCTTAAAAAAGTTATAATTTAAAATTTAATAAATAATATTTAAAACCATTTTTAATGTAAAACGCCACATAATTTATTAAAAAGTTTCATAAAAGTTATCGACTTATTTTTAACGAATTAAAATTAATTAAAAAATCGGATTTAATCGATAAACCAACCCTTATATATAATATCGATACCTTTATTATAATCTTTCCAAACGGCTAATAAATTAATTAAAAAATAATTTATGTCGTTAAAAAAGGATAAAAAAGGCTAAAAAAGGTTAAATAAATCGGATAAATGTTTAAATCGATAGTTTTAATTAAATTGTAATAATTTTTAATTACGGGCATATAAAAAAAAAAAAAAAAAAAAAAGGCGTAAGAATAATAATAAAACTATTTATTATATATTCTCAAACATTTCTTTTATTAAAATAACTAAATATATAAGTAAATAATTAAAATTTTTAAATCTTAACTAATTTTTCTAATATAAGCTTCTTTAATTTAATCTTATAATACTTATATTAAGATTAATAATTATCGATTTAAATTTTAATAAAAAGGAATAAAAAATAAAAAAAATTAAATTATTAAAATTTTATTATAAGAAATTATAATATTAAATAAAAGTGTTATTATTTATATTTTTATTTTTTGCTATTAAAGCCTTATTTGCATTTTTATATATCTTTTAAAACTTTAAATTTAGGCTTAATTTAATGCTTTTAATTGTTTATATTAATTTAATCTAAATAACTTTTTAAAATATATAGTTATAAACGTGTAACCAAATTTAATTAAAAGGGTATTTAATTTTAAATTAATTAATATAAGTTTTAAATTAAAGCGATATGTGGTTATAAAGTTATTTAAGAAAGTAGGTGGTAAGTTAAGCGGCATATAATTAATTTTAAAATTATATTAAAAGCTTTTAATGCCACGTTAAAGGCTTTTAAAGCTATTTAAAAGCCTTAAAGCTGCTTAGGTTACGCTAAAAAATGTCACGTGATTGCTGTCGAGATAAATACTAATATAACTTTTTAATTATATATTACCTTATATTACGATTAATATTAATTAATTAATAATTAAATTCTTTTTTAATTAAATTTAGTTACACGTTTATAACTTTATATTTTAAAAAATTATTTAAAGTTAAAACTATTAAATAAGGTTTAAGTTTAAAAGTTTTAAAGGCATTAAGGGTTTTTAATATAGCTTAAGAATTATTACGTACTTCTTAGGTTTTCATTTATTTTCTTAAATAACTTTATAACCAAGTATTACCTTATTTTACGATCGGTATTAATTAATTCGAAATTAAAACGTCTTTTAATTAAATTTAATTACACATTTATAATTATATATTTTAAAGAGTTATTTAAATTGGATTAATATAAGCAGTTAAAAACGTTAAAGGCGTTAAATTAAGCTTGGATTTAAGGTTTAAAAGATATATAAGATATATAAAAATACAAATAAAGCCTTAATAACAAAAAATAAAAGTATAAATAACAATACTTTTAAATAAAATAGAAAAATTATAATTTAAATTTTAAATAATATTTGGTAAATAATTTTAAAAACTTTATAAAATTATTAAAAGAATATTACGATTAAAATTTAAAAGTTATAAATCTTTTATTTTACTTTAATATATAATTAAAAATAATTAAAAAAAATAATTTTAACCTTTTATATAAAAATAATAATAAGTTATATAAAGTTAATACCTTAAAAACTTATAAGAAATAACGATAAAATTTAAAATAAATTTTATTAAAAAAAAAGGATTATTATAATAAATATAATCTTTAAAGCTTAAGGCTTTAAGATTATACCTGCCTTTTAAGCCTTAAACATTATTTAAAATATTTATTATAAAAAATTATATAAAGGTAAAAATATTTTAACGGATATTTTTTTTTCTCTCTTTTTAATTTTCTTATAATTAAATAAAATAACTTTTAAATAAAAAATATTAAATCCTTTATCTTAATTATTATTTAACGTTATAATAAAACAAAAAAATAAAATATATATACGTTATAATAAGAGCAACACTAAATCCGCAGTAGGAGTACATGCATTTCGTCTGCAGTGCTACCTGATCTCCCACACAAATTAGGTGTGCGCACAAGTACCTCTGCCACAATCAATTCAACGCCATTTCAAACCCACCCCAGCCCATCCAAACGATTTTTCAAAAATCCCCAAAGACATTCATCTTTGTCGCCTTGACGAGACGGATTGATTGATATATGTCTCAAATCTTCAATAATTATATTGATTGAGGAATTGATTGATCTTTAATTGATCTCTTCGGGCCCTACTGTATCAAGTCCTCAATCAAAGTGGTAACGTAGGTGGCCCATGCACGGTACTGGTTGCAACTTCAACCATTGATAACTCTTGCAATAGAGCAGCTGCAATCGTGCAACCGGGGTCAATCTGCTCCTTAGATTGAGACCTTCAAATTGATATCTTCAATCAAGGATTTAAAGATGGTTTGGATTGGTTGCAATTGATTGACAGCTTGGTGTGTACTGGAGCCACCGGAGCTGCGCTACTAGCGCCATACTGCGGACAAAAAGCTAAGTACCCTTATTCGTACTACGGATTTAGTATTACTTATAATAAAGCTCATTTTAATTATTTAAATATTATTACGGTAATTTTTCTTTTTATATATTACACGATATTAAATTACATAAAAAATCCTCCTTTTTTTCGTCTTTTATTAAGTTCCCTTGATATATAAAAACCTCTTCGTAAGGATCGTAAGAATTTTATGTCATAATAATGGTAACCAATTAATACTCATGTTATACATAGAACGGAAAATGAGTTGCCTTGTAAGGCGACTGCCCTTTTAATAACTGGTTGGTTTCTTTAATTACTTGCTCGCTCGTGTCGTACTCTAAATTAGAGCGGCGACAACCATACCCGCGAAACCCAGGGCGCCCATGCCGGCACCGATGTGCGCAGCACCGGCCGTCGGGATTGGGGAAGTAGAAGATATGGAGGCTGTAGGATACACGAGACCAGTGCTTCCAGGAGCAGTGAACAAAGTCGTGGAACCAGTAATGGTCGGGTAAGGAGCAACAGGTGTCGCAGTCGCAGTAGGAGTAGCCAGGGTAGGAACAGCGACAGGAACGGTCGCAACGTAAGTGCCAGGGACAACTACAACACCAGTTGAGCTGGGACCAGACGTGAGAGTCGTGAAGACGACAGCCGGGACAGTGTAGCTCGTGTTAATGGTGATAGTGCTGCTGGAGCTGGGGATCGTCTCACCAGCCTCGTTTGTGCATGGAACAACAACGGTTGTGGCGACCTCGATGGTGGTAACAGCAGCCGGGGGGGCTGTAGCGGTGGCAGTAAGAATAGTAGTGATAGATTCAGCACCAGTAAAAACACCAGGGTTGATGGGTGCGCAGATCCCTTGGAAGTAGTTGATAGCCTCGGAGATGACCTCGTCCGACTCGCCGTGGGCATACAGGCAAGTGAAGACATTGCTGACAAAGCTGGCGTCAGGGCAGTAGCAGGAGGAATCAGTGTTGTCCTTGCAGCCAACGCTGAACATCCAGGTGTTCAAGCAAGAAGGAACAACATCTGGGCAGGGAAGAGTCTCGACGGGGCCAGCCGGGCTGCTCGTTGAGGATCCGATGGGGAGCGAAGTCGTGGGCTTGTTCTCGCTAGATGAGGAGCCGATCAGAGTGGAAGCGGATTCCGTAGGATAACCGCCGGGAGTCGAGACAACTTGGGTGGAAGATGCGATAGGTAGGGATGTGGAGCCAGTTGGCTTGACCTCGCTAGTCGACGATCCAATCGGAAGCGAAGTGGACTCAGCAGGATAGCTACCAGGGGTTGAGACAGCCTGGGTAGAAGAGACACTGATGGTCTCGGTGACAGGGCAGATGGTCGTAGAAATGGGAACGGTGACAGTGGTCAGAACGGTAGACCTGGCGGGGCAGTTGGTAACGGTTGCACCACAGCTGGTAATGGTTTGTACGGAGGTCGTGAACACGGTTGACGTCGTTAGGTAGCTGGTTACAGAGAACGAAGAGAGAACCTCGCTGCTGGAAATGGAACTAGCGGCAGAGCTCGAAACCTCATAAGCTGAGCTGGTAGTCTCAACGGCCGAGGTACTGGAAATGACGGCTGAGCTGCTGGAAACGACGGCCGAGCTGCTGGAAACGACGGCTGAGCTGCTGGAAACGACGGCTGAGCTGCTGGAAATAGCGGAAGAGATGGTGGCCGGCAGGGATGGGGTGCTCACGGCGTAGGTCGAGGTTGAGGCGATGTAGGATGTGGTAGGTTGGGCATCCTCGCAGTCGAAGTCGATCTGGTGGATACCGAAGTCACAAGTGCTCTTGGGTAGCTTAGGCTGCTCAGGGTAAACGATGGTAACGTCAGTAGCACCACCACACTGGGTGTTTTCCACGGTGGTACCGGAGGCCTTGCAGCTAGATCGGTGCTTGCAAGATGATCCATCCGGCATGGTGTAGTGGAACTCGAGGTCGCAGTCGAACTCAGGTGTTACCTGGAACTTCTTGATAGAGGTCTTGCTGACACCTTGGCTCTTGTCACAGCTGATCTTGGGGCTCTGAGTCTTGTCCTTGGTAGCCTTTCCGGTGATGCACTTGTTCTGGAAAGTCCGGGGAGCCAGCTCATCCCGCTTGCTGAACTTATCGGCGCAGGTGAAGCCGCTCCACTTGAATCCCTTGTATGACTCGAACCCACCGATGTTGAGATCAGACCAGTCAATGCCCTTGACGATGTCAGGGATACACACGTTGTCCGTGTTGTCGGGGCAGGTGAATTTAGGGGCATTGGAAAATCCGAAGCCGAGACCCTGATGTAATTAGATACTACCTAGACGATGATGAGTTATGGAACTTACTGTGGCTGACACCTGGCCGAGGCTAGTAGCCAAGGCAACGAAAGATAAGGTATTCTTCATGTTTATTTGCTTCAAATATCTTGGAAAGTGAAAAGTAGCCGAGATGATATTTTGCTGAAGGAGCGAATGCAATTTGTTACGGGTAGCTGTATATATGACAGAAAAATATAACGAGAGATAGAAGCAAGTAAACGAATGACCTTGACTTCTGAGAATAAAAGAACTGACAGAAATGTCTACCTTCAAGGGAAAGAAAGTGCTTGATGGAAGGAGGCTCTTGTGGGATAGATACAGACGAGGACATCCCAACATATATAGAAATTTCATGTCAGACTGCTGTGAACCACTCGTCGAAGCTAGGAATTTAACGGGGTTCTACGGATGGAGGCCAGACCCTATCAACCTCAGAGGAGGGGCGGTTTTAGGATTGGGTGTTTACCATTCCAATCAGCCATGATGGGGTCTGTGGGCTCTGCTCCCCTGTTCTCCTGTTCCAGGCTCGGGAAAAGCTAGATGACAAGGGTGGTCTTTGGCTAGGAGAGATATATCCATAAATGGCAAGGCATGGCTCTCCTGGGGGTCTAATGTCGAATGGATGTTCGTAGTATGCTAACTTTGCTAAGGGGTGAGGAGCGAAGTTGAAGAAAGCCGCAAGCCCCATTACAGTTAGGCCGAGTTGAGAGCACAGAGCGCGCGGCTGCAAGCCGGGATGTCTTAGATCTTGGAGTATCATTTTCAGGGGGTTCATCAGGGATCACTTCAAGGTTGCATCCGATCCACCGTTCTTAGCCACTTGATCCGACCTCCAAAGATTCCCCGTCCAATGACAACCCCTCTCCTCATCCGTGAACATGGCCTAGAATGGTGAGTGTACTATGTAAGTATAGTACAATAGTACTGTTTCCTGAAATTGCAGCTTTTGTTGGAGTAAGCTTCTATGAGTAATATGAATAAACCTCCCAATGGAAGACATCTCCTAATGATGCTATCAAACGATGCACTTTCTAAGCTTACATGCAAATCGACACATGATATCAGACTGCAAAGGAAACAAAGCGAGACTACTCAGCAGCCTCCTCACCACAAGAGCGATGGTGTTCTGTTTAACTTGAAACAAGCATAGCCACTTTGCTTTTGCCTCAAGAACTCGGCTCTAATGCAGGTACAGGACTTTCATCTGCAGCTAAGTTACATTGATCGATTTCTTGCAACCATCAGTCCGTTCCCTCTTGTTCTTAGCGATGGCATAAAAGGGATCATACATAGTAACCTTGTACCTATTAGATGGATAGTGTTTATGGTATGCTCATGTACATAGTAGGTCTATGCTTGCTGTTTCGTACAGCTTTACACATTATCTGGTTAAGGAGTTGCCTAATAATAGACATAATAGACAGCCAACTTCAAGTTCAAATTGGAATTTGGAGGTCGGAACCGTAAAACCGTTGTTGTATAACAGCAAGCCGGTAATGTGACGGGATAGGTAGTGAATGAGGGAGAGTCCTTGGTCGGAGGAGTAGGGGCATAGGAGCATAGAAGCATAGGGGGCATAGGGGCATAGGGGGCATCCATAGTACTAGAATTAGTGTAGAGCTAACTACCGCTTGTCAGCTCGGAGGCGACTGACTGACACAGTCTGACAGGGACTTAGTCGAGGAACCCTAACCGCCACTAAATTCCGGCCCTCTGTAGCTGACAGTCCAGAACCAATGCCATCCATCATTTGCGGCTTAGCTTGCTGCACTCCATACCTAGAGTAGTCTAGCCCTCAGTCCCTGTCTCAGTCAAAGCTCGCGCAAGTTTCACCACATTCAGTTTAAAGCTTGCCCTTTCGTTTATATGCCTACTACTATGTTTATACACACTATTATTACACAGTAGTGACAGTACATGTCTAAATATGGATACTACCTACAGTTAACCTACATTTGCAAGATGTTGGCAGGTTGAATCAAGGAACCCCCCCTGATCGATCGCTTCATACCGAGAATCTACTTGCTGTCCGCCATCAACTAGCTTCCCTTTACTTGGACCACAAACAGTTCTACAAGGGGTCGAATACGAACGGCACGCACCACCTGAGACCTACCCTTGGTTGATGCGACTTTAAACAATCCCTTTGGCTCAATTTTCAAACATCACCAACTATCATATGTTGATAAGAGCTCGAAAATAACATCTTTTTAAAGAGACAGACCTCAATATCGGACAAACTCTTACACGAGGGAATGATACGATGATGAGATTATGTACATAGTAGATACCTGCTGAATATGCATAATACACTGACGGCAGCTGGGCTGCCTCGCATTTCATCTCGTTTCTGTATCGTCAAAAAGAGACACGAAAACTATTATGTATCAATCTCCACAGTCAACTTGCCACAGCTGATCTATGAGATCAATTAAGCGATGGCCAAGAAGCTACAATGATCGCCAGGCACAAATGCCTCTTTTGGCCATCTACTGCAGTACTAACACTTAACTGGGCCAAGCGCTACCAGTCCCAGCTACGCCAACTCCTTGAGGTCTAACCGTCGATGGTCTATATTAGGATAAGTCCTACGTAGGAAATAGTTACATAAATAATTACATAAAGTATGTAGTATGTATGCCACCGCGCTTAGAACGCTCCCCCGAGTCACCCTCTCTTACCGAGTTACTACATATGTAGGCGAGCTTTCCGGATTGTGCGCCAATGAGTAGAATGCCCACCTACCTACCTACTCTAATATCCGAGGTCTATTAGCTGGTATCCGAAAATTAAAATTACTAGATGAGCTTACAATATTTACTTTGCCTGGTTTGCCAACCCGATGGGCCCGAAGAATTTGAAGCCAACGAAATTAACCCGTAACTACCAACTTAGCAAGTCTTCATGTGGCATGATGGAAAATGATTTCATACAAAATCTGTCGTCAACTCGTCGAAGGCTGGAGGATAAACAGGGTAGGTAGGGTTTACTATTAATAGCTGGGAAACTCTTGTAGCGCTATGAGAAGCTCAGGCAAACTCTCCATCCATTCCATTCTCTTGGTAATCGTTGTTTTCTGCTGATCCTCATTAAAAACCCTACTGTTGATCGCGGGAGCTAAGCCTGACAACAACAATCCTGCAGGACTCAGATCTTATTTGTCCAAATAAGGCAACTTCCTGTGAAAATCGATCTTACGAGTTCGTGCTTTATTTGGCTATTTATTAATGATCGCGATCTGTTGGTTTGAGCTTATTTGGAGGGTCCCCATGCTACCACAGTCTCATCTATACGGTTCTTGCTACATGATGCATACATGGATGGCTACATACCTATATAACAAGACCGGCCACCCATAGTTGACGAACGCCAAATAATCCAAATAATCGATTTAGCAGATCTCAACTCATGTGCATATAAAGAAGCTAAACCCCCCATTCTCGTCCTTCACTTTCAACGTGAAAGGCGTCGTGGTGGCTGAAAACATCTTGTTAATTTCATTGGCCGTTCATCACATTGGAAAGCGCTTACACAGGCTTACACAGAGGGGCGGCGCGTATATGTTCTACCTAGCAATTTATCCCACTGCCTACTCGTTGCATGTGTTTTCTAACTAACCTGCATGATGTACTGATCAATATCCAAGGCGCCACAAAAACGCATATCAGCGCTTACTACATATCCAGTATGTAGCATAGGTATGCAGCAGGTAGTAGGTAGGCGAGGCACCTATTTAGGTACTATTCTCCTGCTGCATCCGGCGTACCCTCTCTTCTGCCGCGCGAGCTCTCCTTTCACGGTCAAGTTTCGTCCTCTGCTCTACGGTAAGCCCCCGCGCTTCCTCTTCACGCTTATCCTGCGCCGTCTTTCTCGGGCCGGCATCCATCAGCGTTCCTCCACGCGTCTTATTATTACTCTGCGTAATTTTGGGTCCCTCCTTTCTGAGCCGCTCTTCTTCAGCCTTGCGGCGCTCCGCTTCTTGCTTCATATTCTCCTGGCGTTCGCGCTCTTCCCGCTTATCCGCCTCCTCTTTCTTCAACGGTGGTGGCACTTTGGCCGCCTCCCAGTCCCATCGTGCCTCGCCCAACTTGTCGCGAGAGACCCTAAAGGCATCGCGCGTTGTGCGGTCACCTGCAAGCTCGAAGGCCGTCTTACCTTCTTGGTTTTTAAATGTTGGGTCTGCACCTCCTTTCACCAGGAGTCCTTGGACGATCGGCGCTGAGTTTTGGTTCGCGGCAAGGTGAAGGGGGGTAGGTGCGTGATGATTCTGCTGCGAGTCTGTTGGTTGGAAGAGGAACTCGGCAGGTAGGTTATTGCTCTTTAGATACGACAGGAGACCAGGTAGTTTAGATCTTCGTATGAAGGCCTGTAACTGTGATGTATGCAGTAGTGCTGTTTCTTCCTCCTCTGTTAGGGTTGGTGCAGCCGGCTTTGCAGGTTTGGGTGTCGTCTTCACCGACTGCTCCTCTTCCCCTTTTGTATCCTGTTTCTGTTCGATCTCGTAAATTTTCAGTCTCGTCAACTCGATGAAAGATCGCATCAGCTCATTCTGCGTTGCTCTCCGCGTGCTGAACGGGAATCCACGTATTCGCGGGTCGTTGCCTCGTAGGACTTGGCCTTCGTAAGGACCGAAAAGTGTTCTTCGATTCGTAGACCCCGTTGCTCGGATGAATAGTAGCTCTGACGTGTCTAGTAATATTTTCCATTCTTGCAAGAGTAAACGGACCTCGTCTGTCAAGGCCTGCTCATTGTACCGACGGATGCTTGAACCCGCCGAGTGCGCATTGCCTTTCGCATTATCGTTTGCCGACTGCGATCCACCTTGCTTCCTCCTGGTAGTATATCGGTGGAACGTCTTGTGCGCTAGCACTATGGCCTCTCTATTCAGAGGGCCCACAGAGCCGTGCTTTGTTTGTCGCGGCGCCAGTGACACGACCATGGCAGCGAAGTGACCACCTCCGATCATGCAAAGGAATATATGCGGCCCCTTGTAGCTGGTCGACGTGAAGTTCCCATCCGGTCCTGGCTTCGGTACCGGTATCGGCTCTAGTTGCTTTTTCTTGATTGTCTCTACAATTTGGCCATCATCTTTTGATTCCTCCAGTGTGAGAATAGATCTGTAGATGCCAAAATACTTATTTGGCGGAAGGAGTGGTGAACTAAACCATAATAATGGCAGCCCAGTTACACCCTTCGGTTTCCTCCTCGTAAATCTGGCACCACCACCACCATCATCATCATCGTTGGCTATGTTGATAGCGCCCTTTCGATCTGCGAGAGTGGCTTGTTTCTTTAGGAGCGTCGTCAGGAGACCATTCTCTTTATCGTTATGGTTGTCTTCTTCATCGGAGTCGGATGAATCAGAACCTGACAGGCTCTCGTCGAGAGTTGCGATTAACGTCTCGAATTCGGCCTCAGAGACTGGTTTATGGCCGCGTGATTTTCGTTTTAAGTTATAGTGATGCAAGTCTGACTTGAGGTGGCTGCGCTGGTCTTGCACATTCGTAAACGAAAAGACGCAGAGCGAGCAGGATTGTGAGCCAACTATAGATGATGATGGGGTATTGTCAGGTATGTTTTGCGCTTCTTTTCGCCCTGGGGACCTTGGCTTATTTTCTTCTGATGTTGTGTTTGGTAATTCATCGCGGACATCCTGTTTTAAAGCGAGTGTACAGAGGACCTGGTCAGGTAGGTCGTAGACTATTTTTATTCAGTAGAGCGTTAGAAATGCAGAAACATGGCATGTGTAGAAAATGGAAAACGAGAGAGTAGAGATTCACCATAAAGTGGTCGGCGTAGTAGATCATCAACCTTCTGATCCATTGTTTACGGCTCATATACCTATGATATACCTAATAAAAGTAGTAAATACCTAGTTAAGTGAATTAATAAATCTACTAAATGTAAAGATGTATGTTGGACATGTTACGTAGGATGCCTAAGGAAGAAGGGAGAAGGGAGAAGGGAGAAGAGGACTTTTTGAAAAGCTTCAAATGTTCGTCTGATGACGAAAGTGGGAGGTACCCTAGGTAACTATGTATGCATGGGTACCTGGTTAGGATTAACTATTATAGAGATGGACCGTGCACTCACACACAGTCAGCTTACATAGTACGAGGTACATCACGTAGCACATACGATGAATGAATCAGAATGATATGTATTTATCCCTGTTGGAATTAACTATAGTATTTTGTGAGCAGGGCAAAGTTGTTCAGGTTAGGTTGATTGTCTAAGCTACTTTGTGGGCCCGGTTGTGGCCTTATATATTAGTCTAAGGTTAGATGACTAATTATACTGTAGTTGCCTTAGGCTGCTACAATAGGTAACCTTAGGCTACCACTGCGGTGCTTCGTACCTTTATGTACTTAGAACTTAACTTAATCAACCACTTGATTCTTCATCATATATGCTGCCTTATTCTATTCCCTGCATAACATACTATCTGCTTCGATATATCTCAATTTAATATTTAATGTTCTTGTCGTTTAATGTTGTACATACCCTAGGTATATAGTAGTGTTATACATGTAGCTAGCCTAAACACTTCAAGTTCTCTTGGGCTTCTCTTACATTTAGAAGATGTCTACTCGAAGTGATATGAAAGGATAGCTACTAGATTAGTTAATTCCAGATAAAGGTCTCTTGAGCGAAGGAGCTTCCTTTCTCATAGGTATACAAAGCTTCTAGGGGACTTTTTAAGACTTAGGAAACAATTCCTTTGAGGGAGCTGACCTTGGTCGGCTATGGTATTATCGACAAAGATTTTGTCACAGAACAATGCCATTCTCTTGTTGTGATTACAATACAAATACTAAACGGGGCCCATCAGCGTAGGCATGGCCCATCTTTACCGAGACATTTACAACTAACGTACCTGAATCTCTAAAGAAGAAAATTCGTTCTATCGTCTTTTCTTTTTGGGAATTTGCTGGCGTGGCAGGTCACCCACACACCTATGATATTTGATACTCATACTAGGTACGTAAGTAAACTTCCAGGGACATCATGCCGTGCGACTGTACTCGCATTACTTCTCGGTACGCTTGCCGTCACAAGGAACGGGAGTTTAACAGATGCTGGCGATATGCTTTGAGGAAAGATCATTCTTGCTTGGGAGTATTCGTCGCAAGGTGCGAGCCCTGTCGAATGGCGGTCAAACTACCACGTGTTTGTAGCGAATGTTTTAAATACTTTGTTACTGTCTTTGGTAAGGAGACTGCTTATTATGCAAGTAGAAAGTTCTTGGAGTATAAGAATGATATGGGATTATCTCGGCAGGCTATAAACCCTGGAACGATCTCTCGCGAATCGTACATCACTTCGGCAGAGCTGGATGGGATAAGTACTGATGCTGCTGCGAGGTCCACTCAACCACTTCAGGTCAGGAGCCCGATACCAGTGGAACATATTTCGATCCCTCCTCCGTCAAAACCTCGGCCGCTGCTCCCCCCGGATGTCTATCAGGATGCGCTTCGAGAGCGCCGCCTAATGCAATCCGAAAAGAAATCAAACTCTACAGCTCCTAGAGTCCAAGAAACAGGGCCTACGGCCCGGCAGAGGCTGGATAGGCTGGATAGAGCTAACAGAAATGCTCGAGATGGTCCGGCGAGGATAGAAAACCGGTCTCGTAATCAGAACCTTGAGGAGCCTATCGGACTTCTAGATCCTGCTAACGACAACAACTTCATCCGTGGCAGAACACAAATTAGCATGCCTTACCAACCGGTGCCGATTCGGTCAATGGAAGCGCCTAGAGACCCTCTGCATAAACTGTCAGACAGCTCTCTCGTGAAGCGCATTACCACAATGGCCGACACGGTGCAGATTGCAGGTTACCCTAGTCCGGAAAGTGAAGGACAGCCAAGCGCACCAAAACTCGAACAGGCCCCTAAAATCCCTGGCTGGCGTAGTGATACCTTTCGTCCGGCTACCCCCGACGAAGGACACCACGGCCCAACCTTCGCCTGCCCGACCGTACCACCTCGCGCTGCCTCGGCTACCTGTATGAGGACCGTGTCCTCTATGGACTCACTGGTCAGCAACGAGCCACGGTCACATTCCGTGTCTAATGAGCTCGTACCCGTACCGGCCCATCGCACGGCTGGGATTTGCGTGTCGAGCAGCGCACGCCACTATAAAGAACATGGTGTGCCGTCGGCCGCATACCTCGAAGAAGAGAGCCACGAGGAGAAGCCGCGGGCTTCGAACCCACCGTCTGCCATGTTGGTCTCTATTAAGACACCGTCACCCAGCTATTCGTGCGCTGTGCAGTCGTGCTTTTGCAGCCCCGAGGAAGAAGACGATGAGGTATGCCCGGCGTGTCGCGACAGAAGGAGGCTGGAGGGGGAATTGCAGATGACATGGATTTAGGAAACTAAAGAGATAAGATGGCGTGGGGCAAGATGAAGCTCCTCGCGCTGACCATCACAGCTTCCTGATGTTTTGTAGTCGAAATGACTTTCTCATAAATTCGCGAAAAGTTGAGCATCATCGATACAATAAACCTTTACATGTTCTGATATATGTTCTTGAGGTCTCGTTTATGCAAAACGCCAGTACCTGAAATGTAATTAGCAGTTGGACAGTCTTGGATTCCGTTTGAGGTCGGCTTTTGAAAAAATGTTTTATATGGGAGGGATATGGTGGTAATGGGATATTGAGGCTCTTGATTTTGGATCACCCTTGACTGGGTATTGCTGATATTATGTTTGAGGATGGTTAGGGTTGCGGGTTAGCCTTAGAAATATACATCATATAACATCAGAGACCATAATTTTGAAACGAGTTGGTATGTGAATATGCTGAACCACAAGCGAGTCCGGGATAAGAGTGGTTGGGTATCGTTGATTTAGCAAGGAAAATAGCCTCACTCTATCTCACCTTTGCTCCTCTAGGATTGACCTAATTCAATTCTTTTATCAGCCTGCGTACCAACTTCTTTTGTTGCTCGATACTGAGGTTCTTTTCGTCCGTTTCCTTGACTGCACGGCCAACTGCAAGCACAACCTTGGTCTTCTCGCTGTTGACCCAGACCTTCCCGTTCCTACCTACGGCCGTTTCGAAGGCGAGGCCTGCAGCTCCCAGCTCTTCTAACACAACTACTTTACCCTCCTCGACCGACTTCCGCATCAATAATCTCCTGGCCATGCCTAGCGAGACTTCAAATACCATACCCTCATTCAACGGGCCCAAGCCCTCAGCCTTGCCAGTCGTAGGAGAGACACACTCGAGCTCCGGGTCCATGTGCCGGTTGGCGAGGCTCACTCTCGCATACACCAGAGATCCAGGGCTCAGATTGGGACGAGTTTTCTTGGTAGCCATTTCAAAGGCGAGTTGGGGTAGCACGGCATTTGAAGTGTACCCTGACAGCTGGACGTAAAAGTAGTCGGTTGCTGAATGGTGGACGGTGCCAATGACGAGGTCACCAACCGTTGGTACATACTATATGATGGATCAGTACGTAGGATATCTGCGAGTGATTATAGAAGTTGAGGATTTACCCGTCCTCCGTTGTACTCAATCCATATCGAGTTCTTTCTGTGATCTGTAACGAGTTGGCCAGCAACAGTGGGCACGAGCTCATTGGGAGGAATGTGCCGGAGTCCAGGGCCAAGGCGCAAAGCCTTTTTAGGATGTGAGGGGATTAATGTGTGATCTAACTTGTCGCCTGGAAGGACTAGGATTCTTTCACTTTTCTCGATAGCCATTTTGGAAGATTATGAGTTCCAAGATGTTATCATGAAGGATTGATTCTCTTGAAATTTATTGGGAATGGTTCAATGTTATTAAAAAGGGTACTTGGGTAGATGTGGCTGATGAAATTTCGAAGATCTTATTAGTAGTACATAAATCAATGCTGATCAACTTGAACTTGAATGATAAGTGTTCATCATGGAGGGGCTATTGTGGCTGATGCTAGTCCACACCGTGCACTGCATGTAACTTGAAAGTACTTTTGTAGTAGTTAACCTCCATAGTTACCTACTATGTACCCAGGCTACCCTAGTAGTAGGTAGGCCCTGGTAGGGTAGTAGCACCTGTAAAGCGCCTTAAACTTTATATCCCCACCTAATCCCATGTTAAAATTTTGTTTGGTTGTAACTAACTACTTCCCAAAAAAAAAAAAAAAAGAAAAAAAAAAAGAAAAACCATAAAAAAATAGAGATTACCCCCACCAACGACGAATCTTGTTAAAGGACATAATTCTTTTCAAATACTAGGCACTTTCAAATTCATTTTTACCACAAAGTACATTATTTGGCCAAGTCTGTGAATTCTGCACTTATGACTGAGAGGGTCAACCAGCTCGGCGTTTCGCCGAGTGATCGATGCGCCATTGGCATCTCCTTTGGCAATTCCTATAGCTCCATCGCGTGTACAAGTGACGATACCCCAGTTGTAATTGCAAATGAGGATGGAGGTGAGTTGGTGACATGCGCCTCTCTATTTCACCATCTACTCTATCTAGCTTTGCTAACTTATTCGTGTCTTGTACCATATTAGACCGACAGATCCCCACCATCCTATCATATGTCGATGGAGAAGAGTACACTGGCAACCAGGCCAAGGCTATGCTAATTCGAAACCCTACGAACACTGTGGTTTCCTTCAAGGACTTCCTTGGCCAGGAGTATGTCTTCCCTTTGTAACCTTCCGAGTGGACTAACAACTTACCTTTACTTTCTTAAATAGATTCAAGTCGATTGATCCCACCCACTGCCATGCCGCCTCCCACCCACAAGACGTAGATGGAACTGTCTCTTTTACGATCCAGGACAAGGTTGAGGGCGAACCTCCATCAACTCTCACTGTGAAGGAAATATCTGCTCGATATCTGCGGCGTTTAATACAATCCGCTTCAGATTACTTGGGAAAGAAAGTCACTTCCGCCGTAATAACGGTTCCTACCAACTTCACTGAAGCCCAGAGAGAGGCTCTTATACAGTCTGCAAACGATGCTGAGCTCGAGGTTCTCCAATTAATCAACGAGCCAATCGCGTCAGTTCTTGCTTATGATGCGAGACCAGAGGCTATATTAGAAGACAGAATCATCGTTGTCGCTGACCTCGGCGGTACCCGCTCAGACGTTGCGGTGGTTGCCTCGAGAGGCGGACTTTACACTATTCTTGCTACTGCTCACGATTACGAATTCGCCGGTGCTCACTTGGACAATGTTCTGATGGATCACTTTGCAAAGGAATTCATGAAGAAGAACGCTAATGTTGACCCCCGAGCGAATGCGAGGAGCTTAGCAAAGCTTAAGGCTGAATCTGAGGCTACCAAGAAGGCACTCAGCATTGGAACCAATGCCAGTTTCAGTGTAGAGAGTTTGGCGGAGGGTATTGATTTCCAGACCACCATCAACCGGTTAAGATATGAGACAATTGCCCGCAAGGTCTTCGAAGGCTTCAACCGTTTGGTTGACGGTGTGATAAAGAAGGCGGGACTGGACGTACTTGACATTGACGAACTCATTCTTTCTGGTGGCACATCTCACACGCCTAAAATCGCTTCTAACTTCCGCGCGATATTCCCCGAGACCACTACCATCCAAGCTCCATCAACGAGCGCTGTTGCTATCAATCCCTCCGAGCTTCAATCACGTGGTGCTGCTCTCCAGGCCTCATTGATCCAAGAGTACGAATCGGACGACATTGAGCAATCAACACACCCTGCAGTCACCACAGTCAAGCACATTACGAATGCTATCGGAGTTATTTCGTTATCGGATGAGGGTGAAGAGTCCTTCACGCCAATCATTGCGCCAGAGACGGCTGTCCCGGCTCGCCGAACAGTTCACATCGTGGCCCCTGACAATGGAGGTAATGTTCTAGTTAAGGTGGTTGAAGGTGGCACCCATATCAAGGTCACCAAACCAGAGCCAAAGTCTAAAGAGAATGGCAAGAAGGACGACGAGGATGATGATGAAGATGACAGCGACTTTGACTCTGAGGAAGAAGAGGAGGAGCACCGAGAAAAGGTGTGGAAGATCGGCAGCACCCTTGCCGAGGCGACTATCCGCGACGTCAAAAAGGGAGGCAAAGTTGAAGTCACGATCAACGTTGCCGGAGACCTAACAATCACCATCACGACGAGAGAAGTCGGCGGTAAGGGAGGCGTTAGAGGAACGTTGAAGTCTTCTTGAAATAGACCATCTCATTACTTATATGCTACTACTTTTCCCCCTCGCCATCGCCATTGGCCCTTTTCGAGGGAAGGGAAAGAGGCCGACTTACGGTACCCGGTGATGGGCATGCTCTGTTTCGATAGAGGGAACAAATGCATGGGGCATGGAAGTTACTCCACGCTCAAGGGCTGAACAGGCTAGGCTAGGCTAGGTAGGCATGGCATAGCATAAGGACTAGAGTAACGTGAAAAGAAAAGGGATTCTTACGACTCCTGAATGGGCTTCATGCATGATGTGCCGTTTGTCCGTCTATCCATTCTGTATTCACAACCCCTTTATTAATCCATATAAAGTACTTAAGAGTAAGCCGTATTAACTAATTACCATCTGTTGGTAGGACACGAATGACGAATATCCTTATTCTTGCTTGCCTCTATGCTCCTCTATGCCCCTCTATGCCCCTCTATGTCCCTCTATCCTGTCCCGAATTATCCCGGCTCTTTCAAGTACTGAGCAAGTTGCCGGATCGTCAATGAGTAGCTTATCAAGCACAGTATCTACTTAGGTGCGTAGATAAACGCGACGCAAAACATGAGATACTTTCTTACTCAAGAGGTAAGCACTCTTAATGCAAGTACGTCAGCATCACGTAACTGTCTCAGGCAATTTCCAGGCAACGAGATCCTCACGCTCCTCATATTCATCTACCTCCTTCGGCCGCCGAAACCCATCCCGGCCGCGCTCACTCCCTAACGTCGGTGCAAGACTCGCTAAGCTTCCACTTCGGCTTCGTGGACCTCCCCCTTCACTGCCATCATAGAGGCCGACTGTCTCCCCTTTGTGGGGTTTCGTGCGGTACCGCAAATGAGAAGCTTGATGAGAATTTGCGGGCTGTGTACTATTAAAATTACTGTTACCGCCAATTGCCGTATGTAAGCTCTTATCACTGCCACCACTGCGGGTACGCATGTGTTGCCGCATGCGACGGATATCATTTGGTCGAAGTGTGCCTACTGCCGCCTCGTCACCGCTTGCGCTGCCACTGTGGTTACTGTTGCGGCTCTGGATGCTGTGGCTGCTATCTATAGATTGGCGCCCCACCGCTGGCTTTCTTTTTGACTCTCCGGGTTTCCTACTATCGCTCCACCCATCGCCCCCGGCGAAGATGTCTTCGATACACTCGTCAGCGGGTAGCTCACCGGGCTGGCAGGCCCAGCTAGCGGCTAGGGCGCGGCGGTACATATCTTGCTGTTCGGAGGCGTCCCTAGACTTGCTGCTCAGGCTGGTGCTTTTTGGGTTGTGGGGTGGCACAGACCCGTCATCAGATCCGGGCTCAGCCTGTTGCAATGGCTCACTTCCCGTCATGATGCCGGCGATGCCTCCGAACATGGGAGCGGTTTTGAGGGGCGGCGCAACAAAGTTGCGCTCCCCGTCGATTTGAACCATCAGGATGCCGATCTTAAGTGTACTGTTAATCTTACTTTCCTGCATGAGGTACCGGCGTACAATACCCTCCTCAGCTTCATCGTCGACAATATCATTTTCTTCTGGATGGGGTGGAGGTGGCGCCATTGTATTCGTCGGACTAATTCCTACCACGACGTTGGGACCGCCGCTGGATTTGCTACTGCTTTGCCTTCGGTGTGATAGGCCTTGGCCGACCTTGTCCCGCGCATGTTCCAGGCTCGCGCTCATCCGAGCTCCCATGCTTCGGCGCGGGAAGGTCTCGCTTTCCTCTACATACTCGCTTAGGTTCAGCCTAACGACCCCAAGAGATATCTTCTCATCGCGGCCACCGACCACCATGGGGAACTCCTGCAAGACCTCGAAGTCGATGGGACATTCTGTGAGGTTATTGGTGCGGTCGATGGAGATGCGTATAGGGATTATTTTGGAGTAGTTGTAGACGACGCGGTGGTTAATCTTATCGATGGAGCATTTCGCTGTGCGGCCACGATTTTCGCCATGCATCGAGTTCGGAAGATGCCATTTTATCGTAGATGTTCCGGTAACTAGGGGTACGTTGTTTAAGTCATAGATGGTGAGGTGAAGCTCGAACTTTGGCTATAAAGGAGGCGAAGGTGTTAGTAGGCATGGTGAAATACTAGGCAGCGCTGGAGAATAAGGGGAAGGCGAGGATTTGGATATACCTTCCGGGCCTTGTTCACTATAGGAAGAACGCGCATGTTAGCTCGAGTAGATTATGATGACAGTATTTGCGCATAGCGATGGCAATGGCAGCAGAAGCAAAAGACATTATGCAACTTTATGCGCTGGTCTCAAATCTGAATGGCAAAGGCCACAGTCGGATAAAGCAAAGATGACAAAGGAATTGCGGAATGAAGATGTCGGAAACACAACAACAAATAGTTACATATTCGCTTATTGAACAAATGCAAGTTCATAGATGATAAAATGTCACTTCAGGGGATTTGGAATGCGGCTCAAGAAACAAGAAGAATTAAAGAAAGGGCGCGAAGGTGCGAAGGTGCGAGGGTACGAGGATGCGAGGATGCGAGGACGGGCGAATGCGAGGCTTACATACTCAAGGATGCCATATTATCACAATATTAGTAAAGTCGCATTCACCCTGGCGGTAGAAACACTGCACATGCTATCTACCCGCGTATGGGTAGCTTAGCAGCAAATACAGACGGCGGTAGTAGTGGCAATGTACTGATAGCATGCAGTCATGATTTGGCGCGGATTTAGATGACGACAAAGTCCGACTGATTCGGTCAACTTCGGTGTCAGGGTGTTCTGTCAGGCAGGCTCTGGGCGTGTTCTGGGTGTGTACTAACTATAGTACTATAGTATGTACTAGATGTACTAGATACTATAACTATGTCTCCTTTTTCTTTCCCTTCGTCTTCGTCTTCGGCTACACCGGGGAGGACGAATCAAGGTCGTGTTTGCGGATCAATCGTACGAAGAGGGTAAAAAGCAATGCTAGATCAGGAACTATATTGAATCTGGATTGTGTTCATCCTAGTCTGTCATGCAACTACTTATTACGTAGTTAGGATATAACTACATAAGGGTTGAGTTACGTAGCAGACAGTCAAGCAAGTCAGGCAAAGCTACTCCATACATAGTAATTAGGAGGTAGTTAGGCAAGATTAAAAAAAAAAGAAAAAGGGAATGGTAAGAGAACAAACAGCTGGCTGGAGCTTGTTTTGTTGAACTTGAAAAAGCCTTTTTGGGGGCTAATGATTTGTTTCAGCTCCAAATTAATTTGAGACCTTGTCCTTGGCACCTACATTTGTATCTTCATATGTAGTATGTATGCATCATAGGTATGTATGGAATCTGTGGATCCATCTGTATGTAAGTTTGTACATAATGTGCATAATGGAGAGGTATGTATGTACTGTAGCTAGTAGCTAACCTAGTAGCTACTGTAACTTAGTTATCAGGTACGTACATATCTTACATAGCGATATGTGCATTTTCAGTACTTCGTATGTAGTTGAACTCAATTAAAAAATGATCTCACGCGTTAATGTTAACAACCAACATCGAACCTTATTGAAGGAAACTAATTAAAGGGAAATGAACAAGAATTAAGTACTTCCTCACTCATTCATATTTATCAATCTCACTTTTGTTTGTTTATACACGATTGGCTTAAAGTGAATATACGCAAACCCTGATGCCTCCTAGTAAGAATTCTCAGCCAAGACCTTCTGGCGCCCCAACTGAGAAGAAGCCTGCTGCAAAAATCACGTCAACAACTAAAGCTGGAGCTGGAGCTGGTATCGGAAATGCTGGAAATACTGGAAAGCCAATACAGTCCAACCCAAATAAGAGAAAAGACCATTCACGGCAAGATGTGATATCCAAGAATAGCCTGGGGAGGCCCCCCCCTGGTCCGAGTACGCGAGAAACGAAGCGCACGAAGATTCATGATATCAGAAGCATTGCTTCTCAACAATCTCACGCAGCCTTGAAAGATGGTGAACTGAACGTTCAGTCATTCATAAGCTCTCTCTCCTTCGAGATGAGTGCTTTGGACGAGAGCATGAGACGCACTCGGACCTCTCAAACCAGTCGAGCATTTCAGCGCGTACCCTTCAAAATGAGACGCAGGGCTGCAGCGCATAACTATAAGAAAGTCCCAAAACGTCTGCAAAGGAGGGCTAGGAGAGAAATGGCCGAGGACAACACTCCAGCAGTAAGCTCCAAGACAAGAAAGCCAAAAACTACCAGGGCTAGGTTACGAACTGAGACGGCCCGCAAATTGGAAATCCTTATAAAGCGAAAGAGGTTGCAGAAACTGAGGAGCTCAGGTGCCGATGAAGAAACCATCTCCATTCGAGCAGCTAGACTCAAAATACGAAGGAATACACTCAACAGTCCCATTATCTCCACTAGAAAATTCAGAAAGCGACAGATTTCGAAAACATGGCTCCCTACTCACTTGTGGCATGCAAAGAGAGCGAGGATGACACATCCTGCACAACCATTATGGAGATTCGCAATCCCTCTCACTCCCACGCAGAAAATATACCGGCCTACCCACCGAATTCAATGGGAAAAGGGCGCTATGGCTTGGGACATGAGCTACATGAGCACTATCGGCCTATACGGACCCCAGAACAGTGTTCAAAATGTACTCAAGTCATTGGGGCTTACACAGGAAGCTATGTGGAGTGATAGAGCAAGACGTTGGAGATCAGGTAGTATGCACTGGACTGGGGACTTGAGCAAGAAAGGCAAAGACAACTTGCGTTTTATCGGTCCAGCCACTATTATCTGGAATCCAGAAAAGGAAGCCGGCCATGCAAATTTTACAGACCAGCGGGGACCGTTCAGGCAACTTTATATCCGTATCCACCCCTCTACGTTCTTAGAGGTCTTCAACGAGGTGTCACGGCTCGCAAAAATGCAGCACCCTCGGCCTTATGTTGAAGATCTGAGGTTCGAGCTTGGGAGCATTGATATCACTGGCCCCGACTCGACAGAAGCTCTACTTGGAATTCTTAAGCCTTACTTTATGCGGCCCGAGTCTAAAGAACGTGACGCTTCGATGTTTGAATCACTCGCTGGCCTAAAAGACCCAGGCGCTTTGCCTATTGGGTCTCTATTTGCCTTTTCGATCGCAGACCCTCGTCTCCACTATCCTCCACGCCGTGCAATTATTCCGAATACAACAAATCCGGATGCCCAAGTTGCGCTTCTAAATGCCATATCAGCACTTCAGAAACAAGATGCTGTGAAGCCGCATAAGTTGTTCGACAGAGATTTGCGATTCAAAGCCTCTCAACTTCCGTCGCAGCGGTCTCTCAATCGTCGTCGTGGCAAAGGTGTACCAGGAGCCATCCTCCAACCAACCTTAGCTGACCCCCCTATTCCTATATTGTTGCTCGCTTCCCGCCACTCCTTAGGGCTACAATCGTCCGGCACGTGGACATTGATTCTACCCTGGAAATGTGTGCTTGCGGTATGGTATGGCCTAATGCATTATCCATTGTCAACAGGCGGCAATCCTTGGTTCGGTGGCGTGGACGAAGTCAGACATCTCACATTCGAGCGAGGTCTTCCATGGTTTCCGGGTGACTTCCCGGGTGCAGAGGCTGGCAAATCTTGGGAATTAGAAGAACGAGGAGTGAGGCAGAAAGCCTGGGAACGTATGCCGAAAGGGAAACGGGTCAATTTGGATTCGCTTGATTTAGGAGCAGGACGAAAAGGCGAAATTGGAATAGGGTGGAATTGCGACTACGAATTACTTCTCGGCCTTGGCAAAGGGAACAAGTCTGACATGACATTGATAGATGGGAAGAATGGAGGCGATGAGTCAAAAGCAAGCCCAATGGGCCATTTAGAAAGCATCACACAACTATCGAAGTCTTCATTCAGGGCCTATAATTTATCGACGACTGGGTTGCCTCATCTAGCTTCATTGGTGACGGCGAATATCAAGATGATGGGGCGTGGGGTAGTAAGTACCTGTGCGAGGATATATCGCTTACCAAATGCAAACCCCATTGCGGTCTCAACACAGGCCGAAGTACCAGCCACAGAGCCGTCTCTACCATCGAGATCAGCGGGCAAGTTACCTCCAAACCTATGCGACCAGTGGCTAGCACAAAGGCCAACCAAAGCCAGCTCGTCTAAAAAGGTCCGCCCTAAACGAGACTTGGATCTAGAGACCCGGCAACAATTACTCGCCCAACAACTGATTGGTCCGCCAGCTTTATTTCCGCCACCTCATCCCAATTCAGACAATATCAACGGTCATCCGTTATGCCCTGACAAGGAAGATCTGATTGGTTTTGTAACTACGGGGAGCTTTAATCTTAGAGATGGACGAGGTGATGCGATCGGTAGTTTGTCGGCTACGAAGGCGCTAGAGGAGTTAAGACGATATAAGAACTCAGAAGATCCCGCCATTAGACTCTGCGTGGTTAGGAACGCAGGCCAGAATGTTGGATGGCTTGCGAGGTGGGAGCTGATTTAGACACCACAAAGCTATGGAAGAGAAAGCTACCTACGTACCTAGGTAGGCACATAGCTGTGAATCAAGCTTCATCCCAGCAAGCTCCTATTTCGTATTCGGCTGTAGTCAAAAGGATGTCATTGGCAATCCTTGTGATTGTATGCCTAGGTTACTAGATACCCAGGTACCCATTTGCCATACTTAGCAGCTGAGCAGCTGAATGTATTAATCCTCGCCCTCTTTTCTGATGATCGACAGAACCGAGTTCAAATGCGACTCCACCACCACCAATCCTCGCTACATGTATGGTCGGAATTGGCGGGGTGTTACATCAGAAACTTGGGGATATGAGTTTGCTCACATAATTACCCCTGGCATCATTAGATGACTTGCCGAGATCTTGACGCTTCGTTCTTGGCCATGCGCCGTCCAAGGCATATACTCCGTACCCTGCTCCGTGCAATTGTGACGACGATCGTTATCACGGGCATCTTTTCATTGCGGAAAACTCACTACATCCGAGGCACACCATCGCCGAGCATGGCTACACTGTCGTTCATAGGAGGATGCTAGAGTGCTTCTTCAATATGGTACGTCAACATGTAGGAATTTGTCAGGGCACCCCGGTGCTCATTATCTTCGAAGCGTGAGCTTTGAAGCTGGATTTAGAAGGACAGGGTAACTACAGCAATCACGAGGAGGCCAAGGTGAAGCGAGGATTGCATGCGGAAGCTCCCCCCCCCCCCCCTTTACAACTACTTGTTCATAAATACAAGACTCATGGCTTCTGCAAGTGCTACCAGACTAAATGACCTGTCAGCTCTAAGGTACTAGGCACTTAGATGTTTGATAAAAATTGTACTAGTTACCTATAAGCTTACCTATGTCAACTGCCGCCAAGCTATCCACGAACTTGATAGTACGTTTGTTTCGCGATGCAGAGTCTGCACCGAGCTCTTCTAACTCTGGCCGTTGTGAGCTCTGGCAATGTATTAGCCGAGCCATATAACACGTTTGATGGAGATGGATTCCCTGCCTGCCACGATGTTGCCAGTGTTCACAATGCTACCAGTATTGACGAGATAGTTCAACTTGTGAAAAGCGCCTCTGCTAATGGCACCCCGGTGAGGGCATCAGGAAAAGGCCATATGTGGTAAGTTGAGAACCACATTCGTGAACTCCCCTTTATCAATATACTTTGTATTTGAGAATCTACCCTGTGCGACGCTTGCTCCATGCTCTGCAGTGCTTAGGATTTCTTGTAATCCTTTAGCCGTATCTACACAGAGACCAATTCTGACTGAAAATGTCATGAAGGTACGATACTATGTGTTCAGACAACCCGGAGACCATTATCATCCGTACGGAGTTCGTCAACGAAATCTCAAATTTAGTACTAGAAGAAGGCGCCGAGTCCGGCACAGTTGATATAGAAGCTGGCGTGACATTTCTCCAGCTTGCCGAATATCTCCACAAAAACAATGCTTCCATGGGCTACACACTCGTCAACTGGAATATTACTATGGCTGGTGCAGTAGCGATGGGCGGGCACCGCTCTGCTATCCGGGAGGACTCTATGGTTGCAGCCGGTGTTCTGTCGATAGATATCGTCAATGGGGACGGGGAAATCGTCACGATCGAACGAGACGAGAGCAATGATGACTGGCTTGCTGCTTCAACCTCCTTAGGTCTACTAGGTGTCATTGTTCGCATGAAGTTCAAGATCTATCCCGATTTCAAGGTGTTTGCGAAACAAGAGACGTAAGTGCTCCGGCCTCCTTTCCCCTATATTTTTCATTTTCAGACTGATACAAGCCCGCCTAGTATCGACGAAGATGACATACTCAACGGAGATATTTATGGCATGATTGCGCCTTATGCTACTGCCAATTTCTGGGTATATACCTAGACATATTCCTCGTCGAGGCTAGAGCTAGAATCTAACGTTGAGTACTTAGTGGTGGCCTTACATGAAGAAGTTTCATTGGAGATATTACGACAAAGTTCCGCTCACACTTAGCTCCCAGGAAGGGTACCAGAACACATTCTCTATCACTGACACCGAAGCCTTCATCGCAAAAACGACCCTCGAGAGCGGAAAGTATCTTGCGACTTCCAACATGTTTTTCGAGACCACCGCGTTCGGGTTATGGTCCGCTCCCAACTTCCGCGAGAAGACGACACAAGAGACGATCAGCGAGTGGCCGGTATATGGCTGGAACTACGACGTCCTAATCGGTGGCCTGTACCCCGACCAGAAGCCTGAGGTAAATACTTCCAAAAAGAAACCCAAACCCCCAAACTCCCCCCTACCTAGGTACCTGGATACATTGTCAGTTTTAAAAGGGGGCAATTGCTGATTTTCGTCGTTGTAGTGGGAGTACGGGCTGCACGGCGCCACGCTTGAGCTCGCGTTTCCCATCACTATAGCCAACGACATGCTCAAGCGTGTGCGCCAAGCGTTCGACGAAGAAGCCAAGAAGGGTATTATAATGACGAGCACTTACCGTAGTGGGATCAATATCAAGTTCGGCAAGCCCTACTATGATCTGCTCGGCCAAGTCACCTACAACACGTCTGATGGCGCAGATTGGAGCAAAGGGGCCATCATGTTTGATTTCCCGTCTTTCAAACCTAGTATTGGCGATGGGAAACGTTTCAACGAAGAGTTTTGTGAGAGATTCCCGCTGCGTTGCTCTGCCCATATTCCCACCTTTCCACACAGACTGTAAGACTATAGGGTCAAAGCTAACAGAAATGATGAAAGATCCCCGATTGGCCAAGACTCTTGTCGATGAGTTCCCGTGCCGACCTCATTGGACCAAGAACACGCGTGAGGTATTGGGCAACGCGACCAAGAACATTGACCCCGAACACCTAGCAAGATTTAAGACTGTGCGCGAGAAGTTCGATCCTCAGGGTATTTTCAAGAGTGTCGTCGGCGAGATCTTGGGTCTGTATGACTAAATGGGTTATATAGTCGCTTGGCTCGAGTGATCTTAAGAGGGACTATGCGAAGCGTTTAGCATGTTTATCATCGTGGGCCTTGAAACTTCGTACAGCTCGCGGAAATAAACACACGTAGGTCATACATAGGTAGGTAGGTAACTACTGCAACAGATGCCATTACAGTCCTGACAATCATAACACCCCCTTACACGTTTAAAAAGAGGCGTTTACGATTTTAGATAGACTCCTTTCCTTTTTGTTATAGGTTTCAGCAACTAGTCTTTGGTAATATTCCTTCCTCAGTATCGCTAGCTCCATTACTTTCGCCCCTGTGAACCAGACCCAGCTCGTTGCTAGCACCAAGCTCGCGATAGGGGCCGACAGCATCGCTCGTGCCGTGGCTATTTGGTGTCAGAGTCCTGGCCCATTTGACCGGAATAAGTTTGAGGAGTGGCCGAAGAGCTGCTGCCGATGTTGCGAAGGTAGCCATCCCGAGTTCGATATCGGCCCAGAGAAGTAGATCATGGTGAAGTCCAGCAGCTACCTCGCCTTTAGCTGAGGGTAGCTTGATTATAATAACAAGCTTTACGATGGTAGCAGAACTAGCACTATAATAATGATGAGCATGGACCAGCCACCACTTCTCTCATCTCCAGCTACCCGCACAGCAATAAAGGGGGCCTAGAGCAAGGGAAGAATCTAAGACTCACAAGGCGCCTAATCCTAATAGCAGCATTACGGTAACCTTCAGCCTCGTGCTCATTTTCGTCTTCCGGAGAATGTAGATAGGCAACAGGGCGTAAAAGTAGTCGATGAAGATGTTGCTGATGGTGCGGAAGTAGCCCACTTGCGTGCAGGCCTTACTCCCCGCCCAGTTGCTTGAGCCGCTCTGCGCGCACGGCCAGGAGGCGAACAGAGTCATAACTATGGTCCATATCGTAACGACGACCATTGACCCGATGATAATCCAACGTAGGCGTTTGGTGGAGGCTAGCCGATAGAGAACCAGCGCCACAGCCAGTTTCACCAGACCGGCGCTGATATAAAGCGTTACTTGGTTGGCAAATAGGAACTGAATAATCAAATGCTGTCAACTCTCTGATCACATAATACTTCTAGGAGAAGGAGGAGAGAGTGAGTATTATTGTTAATGAGGGAAATGCTTAACCTACACGCGTGGCTAGAGTTGTGTTGTAGTATGGCTGTTTATCTGGAGCAGCGTAGCCATAGTGAAGTGAGGTGAACCCCATAGCACAGGAGATAACGAAGCCAGCCTGAAAGTTTGAGCGATATCAGTATCATGTCCCTTACAAGGCACATAGACGAGTTCTACTTGAAATGTGGGATTTACATAGGTCAATATGAGGAAGACGTCGTCCCAACCAAAGCCACGCGAGAGCATCTTCGTTCGAACGTAAAGACGAGAAGCTATGGCTATAGTATCAACCACTAGAAAGACCGTCATGGCTGCGATCAAGTCTTCTCGATGACCCATTTTGTCGGACGAATGGCATTGACGAGTGAGCGGTTATGAGGTTAGGTGAAGTAAGCTCTAGCTAGGCGGGTCACTTGGATGGCATAAAACAGTATGAGGCGTGATTCCATCTAAAGAGATGGATGTGGGGGGGGGGGGGGACAACGGTTGGCTTATCAAGGCTCATAGGTAGCAGAATGGGTAACATGAGCATGACGAGCTGAGAGAAGTGGCAAGCAGAGTGTGGTATTACTGGTCCTACTTGGACTCGCCATATTTGGATACAGGCCATCCATAGTTGTAAAACATAGATATATATGAACGAATGGTGTGCCACCCTTCTACAGCGGCATGCATAACAGCCGGGGAGTACCCAGAGGAAAACAAGATATTTTTGGCAATAGTGTCTTGGACCCAGACAGCCTTGTCAGCTTCGTGACCGAACAACCCCCCATATCATGCACTGAGCTTGACATTCAGATGTGCTGGATATATCAAATGTAGGTTACATGCACATCAATGTACGTCTGGTGTCAGCATCGGCGAGTATGGGGTATGCTGTGTGCTGGCTTTGCAGGGAAGCGGAACAGGGCTAGGCGCACATGCGGGAGCTGAATGTGCAGTGTAACTCTTTGCTCTGGGGTTCATATAATTCGTGAGACTACCCCCAGAATCGACTAAGATCGACTCCCGACCTGAAGGATTGTGGCATATAAGAGATGGGCTGAATGCATTCAAAGTTGACTAGTTGTCCGTGGGTTGGCTATCCCCCCTTTCCCCCTATGTACCTAGGTTAGGTAGTTTACCAGATTGGTACACCGAGTTATTATGGTGCCTACTTACATGTAGGTTAGTAGTATTAGATATGTTGTGGCGCACGTGTAGAAATATATAATACTGACTGTATGTGACCAATCTACTTACCGACTACCATGTTTGGCCCTTTACCACCCGTCATTGCCGCCTCCTGCATCTACACCTAAGGTCTAAGCGAGGCTGCAAGCAGCTCCAAGGTCAGAAGTTTGCCAACAGAAAGGGTACTGGTACTGCTATATATGACACTCCCTTACTTTTAGGAGACCTCCATTAACATTGTTATGCTTACATATGTATCTACCAACCATAGAGAAGGACTAAGGGGCGTAAGGTGTCAGCACCAACACGAATTATTAACCAATTAACCAATGAATTAGGTCAGGTACAGTCACTGTCAGTCACTGTCAGTCACTGTCAGTCACTGTCAGTCGTCAAAGCTTCCAAGTCCGATTCTTTCAAGTGCTGCATATGCCAAATCATGCCTCATTTCCCAGCAATCGGGATCGGTAAAAGAGAAGAGCTGCAGAGCAAACAAAGATAATCCAACATCAATGCCTTCCTAAGTAATTTTTCTTTTTTTTCTTCGCTTTTACTTTACTTTTCCTTCCCTTTCCTTTCCCCTCTCATTCCCAATTTCCCACCATACATACACTTGCACATCTACATGCACCTGCACATGTATTCAATTCGGCTGTAGCGGTTTTATAAGGGCTTTGCGGTTGTATAGCTCGGTATAGTTCCACGAGAAAGATTGAATTGAAAAAAGAAAGAAAGGAAAAGAAAAATAGGAAGGTAGAAAAAAAAAAAGAAAAAAAAAGGTGGTCAGCATGCGAGTACCAATTCGATCCTACCTCGCGTCAGCGGCTGCCGCCTTGTCCGTATCCGCTGAGCTGGCGGTAGGAACAGCGGTAGCACAGACCAATTACTCAACATGGATGGCGACGAGCCTCATGTCGCGCAGCCAGGGCATCATGACCGGCAACGGCGGCTCCTCCGAGCTGCTGCAGGCCGGCATCACCCAGCGGGCCCTCTCCGCCCTCGTCGCGCAGTACCCGGATCATACCCTCGCCGCCGGCATCCGGGACTACATCCACCGTAGCGCGTCATCCGTCGTGCCCTTCATCTTAAACGCTACCTACGACGCGCTCTCGTACCCTATGGACCGCCTGCTCACCGGTGACACCCTTCTGTCGCTGTACTCGCCTACTGACAATAACACCACCTCCTTCCGCGTCGCCGCCGACGCGCTGCGCCATAGCATCGACCTCAACCGTCGCAACTACGAGGGCGGCCTTTGGTATTTTGTCTACCCGCAGTGGAGCTATCTCGACGGCATGGTATCGCTCGCGCCCTTCTACACCTTGTACACCGCCGCCACCGAACCGTCGCTCACCACTGAGAATGCAACCGACGCGTTGGACGACATGTTCCATCAGCTCGACTTGCTCTGGAACCGCACGCGCAACGCCACCAGCGGACTGCTAGTGCACGGCTACGACGCGTCCAAGACCGCCGTCTGGGCTGATCCCGACACAGGCGCGAGCCCCCACGTCTGGGACCGCAGCTTGGGATGGTACTTTATGGCCCTAGTGGACACGCTGGAGGTGCTGCCGGAGAAGTCGACGTGCAAGTACCGCGAACGTATCCTTGAGAAGTTCCGGTCCCTCGCCAGCGCGGTGATGCAGGCTGTGGACCCGGCGACCGGTGGCTGGTGGCAGGTCATGGACGCGCCAGGACAGGAGGGGAATTACATCGAATCGAGTGGCAGCGCCATGTTTTCGTACGCGCTGCTGAAGGGCTCGCGGCTAGGGTACTTGCCACCGGCGCAAGTGCCACATGCATCGGATATCGGAAGTCGGGCCCAGGAGTACTTGTCCAACACCTTTGTCGTGCGTGAGGCGAACGGAACGGTAGGATATAACGGGACTGTGGCCGTGTGCAGTCTCAACTCCACCGCAACCTACGACGTGAGTTAAACCCCATCACATATCTCCTACTCTAAAACGACGAAAGACTGACCACTTATACTAGTACTACGTCCATCAACCTATACTGTACAATAGCGTGCTAGGCTCTGCCGCCTACATACTCGCGTCCCTTGAGGCAGAGCGTCTCGGAAAGGCGTGAAATAGCTGATGCTACTGTGTATAGTGTATATGTTGCACCTTGCGCTGAATTAGACTAATGGCAGAAGGAGCTCGCTAGGGTTATTCTAACATCTTAATAGGCTAATGCCGAAGCTATGCATGAGTTAATAGTTGGTGTCTTGGTAGCCTTCCCTCAACCTTTTCACCTAATCGCCAACCCCCAGCAGTCAATGTGCTGTTGTATATAATTACCCCATGCATTGAAAATGAGTTGCTTTCTTCCATTAAGAATCTGTATAAAGTTTTCTATTCTTTTCTTCTTTTTCTTCTTTTTTCCAGGTAGTTATCTTCAACGTGCTTAATCTCGCGGCTTGAGGGAGGGAGGAGTAACCCCCTTCAACAAGTGGTAAGGCAATATGGCCATCTTATGGTGAGACTCAGCTTGAAGGATCTTATGAACGATGAACGATGTCTAGTGACCAGCATCAGAACTACCAACAAGTAAAACATCCATAGCCGATGGTACCATGAGTACGGGACCGGTACCAAGGGCTCCCCAGGTTCAAGTGCCAATGTGACCAGAAGTTTCGAGAGAACATGACACCAAGTATCTAATTAATATATGTAATGAATACTAAATTCGGTCTGCATAGACAGGGTGCTAAATCCGTGTCCTTCGATATCGAGCTATTGGCGATTCACCGATCTCCATCCTATGTCCTTTGATGAAAGCTATAGACCACCCCCTCTTAGCAGCGTATCAACGAAATCGCCAACATCGAGTATCCTCTAATCAGAGTATTGATCGTTCTTAGTACGCTCTGTGAAAAGTCATGAGTGACAGAATCCTCAAGGCTCGACCCTGAAAATCCTAGGTCGCCACTCAACATATAACTGTGAATCAATGAATTAAGGGTCATGTGAAGAACATCCGACGCACAAGATTTCGAACAACTTCCCCTACTCCGCGTAGGACATGGAAAGAAGGATGTCCACGATGCCAAGTCCAAATGGTAAGATGCGGTCTTAGCCGTGCCCCTATCTTATGGCTTTGCAGGATGGATCATGCAAGCCTTCGTTTCGAGCCTTGTCTTCATTTAACATAAATTTGCCATGTCTAAGATTGTAACTCGAATTGGTCATTTTAGGACCGTCGAGATGAACTTATATGAAGTTCTATGTCATTGGATATTGTCCTGTAATCCAGGCTAAAGAGGCTGAATAGCCTCGTTAGAATTTGTGGAACTATTCGATAGTGGACTCACAAAACGCCTACCAATCGCGGCTCGCCTGATCCCAGCCAGTCAATCTAACATGGCACACTCATCCTGAGGTTTAACTTTCTGTGCGGTAATTTTCGCTTTTCGCCCGTCAATAATATGTATGCCATGACATCCAGGAGTCTAGAACTTGTGATATAGGGAAAGAAAGGCCGCCGTCGCTATTCTGAATTGTGAATCCCGATCCTCCTGTCTAAGCACACGTCCTCGGAAGGACCTTGAAAAGGAAGGTGTCTTCCCTTCATGAGGCTCGTATCTTCGCCGAAAAGCTTGCACCCATCAAGTTTGATTCTTTGGGTTTTGCCGTAGATAATATCATGAAGTTAGGGGTGGTGTTCGGCCTATGCTGGCTCCTGAATTGTCAGACCGCTGACAACTACTGGCAATATAGACGGTAAACGGTACAAACATGTTGGTCGAACTGAAGAAAACCTTATAATATGGCTATACTTGGTGCTGCATAGTCTGGCAGATGTCCCCGTCTTCGTCTTCGTCTTCATCGCTCGTTAGAGGCCTGGAGGGACACCGAGGGCTTTGTGATACCGGAAATCTCTCCATGCAACTAACGTTAATTGTTAGGTCTCAGGTATGTTGCATTGATGATAGGACTCCGGCCTAGATTTAATCTAAAAGTAAGGTTATTCCAAGAATAGCATCCTAGGACCTATCCTGACAATGTTGGGCTCTTCTGCTGATCCCCGAAGCTCCAACTCGGGGACCGTATCCTCCTCGCCTCTGCAGACGGGTGTGCCACGAGGATACGACACTCCTGGGAAAAGGTAGCTTGCCTGGAGTAGAACTGCTTGAACGGGTGATGGTCGTAAGGCACCACATTAGGTATGTAGGCTTGTTGCTAATTAAAGCGCAGGATCCAAGATAGCACCGAGAAAAGGCAGCGTGTATAAAATGGCCCTTCCCGTCCGTAATCTAAGTCGACTATATTTTCTAGTTTCAGATCAGTATATCTTCTTCGCAAGCAAGTGTAAACAAAGGATTGAATACCTACTTATCGACACCATCACTTTGATTGAGCATCAGTAAGTTGATCTTCACCACCAAGACTACTGGGTTATATAAGACTGGCTAACAAGAAATAGAACATCACCAAAATGAAGGTCCTCTTCATCGGATTGATTACGGCACTAGCCAGGTAAGGAGACTATTATGAGATGACGCTGAAGCTTGATATCAAGAGGAAGGGAACTAAGAATGAGATAGCGCTGTCCATGCCGCAGTCATCGACCCGGACGTCACAGAGACCCATCGTCCACCTCACTACCCAACGAAGACGATTGAAAGCACGTCCAGTTCGACTACGTTCATCATCAGTGTCACCACGCTTCCGGGCCACCCCCCGACTCCCCTTCCATGCCCGACGGTGACGCACACAACTCGGCCTGCCGACTGCAGCCCGATGTTGTGCCCGGTACCTGGTTGTACGTTGGAACAAAACCTAATCATTCCGTGCGGGTGTGCGGGTGTGAAGACAGCTCTGTTCGTAGATGGCTGTCAGACAGCTTGCCCGACAGACTGCCTGACCAGACTTCAAACGTTCACGGCACTTTGCGCAACCCAAACTGCGTCTGCATCTGCGTCTGCGACTCCGATTCCAATTTCAGGCTGATACGAGGGAAGAGGTTAGGTATTGATGGGCTGCGGTTAGGTACCTAGGTTAGCTACTTAACCTTAGATACATGTATGTAGGTGGAGCAACATTTCTCTTCATATTATTATCGTGGGAAAGAAGATAAGGAATAAGGACCAAGGAGCAAAAAAAACAAAAAGAAGATAATTCAATGTTAGATATCAAAAAGATGAGAGTTATTGATGTTAGTAACGCTGTTTTATTTGTAGAATTGGCCTATCTAAGGTACCTAAAGGCTTAACATTGAAGCTAGTAGGGGTTTAAACCTTGGAAGTTGAATGTGGATCACTGCATGATGTGTGCCCAGTGGTGTGCCCAGGGGTGTGCCCAGTGGCTTTTCCCAACCTCCGATGACTCTAGCGACTGAGTTAAGTTTAGTTACTACTACTTACCTACATATCTACATATCTACAATACCTACAATACCCCTTAACTCAGACCGTATGTATTCTTCTACTTCGTCCCTTCTCATCTTCCTTTACACTTTTGACTCTTCAAACTAAATCTCCATAATAAGATAAGTCTTTATTTTATCATATTTATTATATTTGTTATATTTATTTTAATTCAATCGATCGTTACGAATTTGGACAAAATGACATCAAGATATAGAGTGGAATGTGAGTTTCTATGGACTATCTCCTCCAAGCGATCCAAGTGATCTACCACCATCATTTCTGTTACTAACACGGCCGCTTTCTGCTTATAATAGATGCACTGAAGACGCACAGGAGAGACCAATTTATAGGTATTATCTCAACACCATGGCTCTTACCTGAATCCTCCTACAATTAGAACTCCATTACTCTCCCCCGGGTTAGCAATTGGGCTTCTACGGTGGATGCCGGATATCCCCATGACTCGAGTGCGCCGAACGGGGAACACCCACGTGAATCGCCTTTCAATATCGTTTTTAATACACTTTTTAATAGCTAACTTTTGACCACCATAGAATGGATCAAAGGACTCCTCGCCGTTCCCTTCGTCCTGTATTCCCAACCAACAGGAATATTCGAAGCAAATGGGTTCAATGTCACGCAAATGTCTGAAGAGGCCCATAGGCGATATGCCGAGATTATGAGGGACATCGAAGTAATGATCGATGATAACAGTACGTCCCCTTTCCCTGCCCCCAAGCCAACCTCGCGACAGTCCATTGACGTATGTCTGCCTCACTTGTACAGTAAACCATCAATCAGATGCGATCCGGGTCCCATCTAAGCTCAAGCTGCTGGTCCCAACCATAGGCACTTTCTTCACGAGACTGCCGCTTGAGGCCGCCTTCAAGTTCCAGGACCGAAAGCGCTACATCTCGTCCCGGCGATTCGTTTCGCCGTCCTTCAACGATGTGCGTCTCATACTAAACACTGCACAGCTCATGGCTGTGACCACTCACGGTACACTCCAACTCGCTACCTTTGATGGAGATGTGACGCTTTATGACGATGGCGAGAGCTTGGAGCCTAACAGCCCAGTTATTCCGCGCATGATTGACCTCATGCGCAAGAACGTCAAGATCGGTATTGTCACCGCCGCTGGTTATACCACGGCTGATCGCTACTACGCCCGCTTGCACGGGCTCTTGGACATGATCGCGACGACAACAGCTTTGACACCACAGCAAAGGCAGAACATCGTGATTATGGGCGGTGAGGCCAACTACCTATTTGAGTTTAACCCCACTTCGCCTCACCTGCTGTCTTCTGTACCCCGCGAGCGGTGGCTGACGGCCGAGATGAACACCTGGTCCGAGGCAGGCATCGAGGCATTACTGGACGTCGCTGAGGCTGCGCTGCGCGATTGCATCAAAAGCCTAAACCTACCAGCGACACTGATGCGCAAGGACCGGGCAGTCGGCATCATCCCTATTGACCCTAACCTACGGATCCCACGGGAGTCGCTGGAGGAGACGGTGCTCGTGGTGCAAAAGACGCTGGAGCTGAGCGTGGGCGGCCGCGACTTCGACAATAAGGTTGTGCCCTTTTGCGCATTTAATGGAGGGCGGGACGTGTTTGTGGACATCGGCGATAAGAGCTGGGGCGTATCGGTATGCCAGAAATGGTTTGGCGGCGGTGGCGGCAGCAGCAACGGTAACAATATCGGTCAGGACAACAACATCTGCAGCATCAAGCCGGAGCAGACCCTGCACGTTGGCGACCAGTTTCTAAGCGCCGGAAGCAACGACTTCAAAGCCCGCAGCGTCTCTACTACTGCATGGATTGCGAGCCCCGCCGAGACCGTGGAGCTCCTGGACGAGCTGGCTGGTTTCATGGGCAAGAAATTGAGTTAAATCGGGCGACTTTGGAGCGGTATCGCATAATATAACGGTGTATGAGGCGGTGGGATTAGTAAATTGTGAGGATTCTAAAGGCAAAACATCTATCCCGGCTTAGTTTGGAAGGCATCAAGAGTTCGGCGTTTAGGACTAAAATAACCCATATGGAGGACCATGAGCATCAGAATAACGAAAGCCCCCAACCCATGCATAGGTAGTTCTTTAATATTTATGATGGGCAACGTGTTTCATTCTGCATATCCACTAGATTGACATTGACATAACGAAAGCTCAATGGTAATAGATATTCGAGGAGATGGCCTGTACGCTGGCATGCTCTGAGAGGATGTCTAGCTCAACTAGCCGTTATTGTATGGCTATGAGGTCAAGGTCGACATCATTGTCTACACTGTCATTGGCTTACAACACATGGGGATGAGTGGTGGCCTCGTCAACCTAAGGCGATCCATGTTTCAGTATCTGATAGTCACTATAAGCCGGTCTTAAGGGGGAATGCTGATATCCATATAAAGAAGTATATATATATATACACTGAATCAATAGACTAGTTGCCTAGCCTCGAATATTATAACCGAATTACGCTCATCCATAACCCATATGCTCTTTAAAGCAGACCACTGTTTTTTTCATGCCTCGCTCTCGCTGAAGATCGGTCGACGACCCTGATACAGCCATCTATGAAGAATGTATAACCCAAGGCCCTGTGTGCATTGTAATTATTTTTTGCCTTCTCCGTCCGAAATGCCGATCGAGCCGTCCACCGTTTCTATATGCTTCTTAAAGCCAAGAAACTCGTCAATGCAAAAGTTGTAAATATCATAATACCGCTACCCCTTAAACCTAATAGGAATAATCCCACCTAGCATGCGCCCTTTCAATGCCGATTTCGTCGCCCTTCAAAGTCCAACACCAGAAGCTAAGCCAACCCATAATCCCGGATGCATAGAGGGAAGAAAGAAAAAGACATCAGTGGGTATTGGGGTATTCAAATTGATGCAAAGGAAATATTTGTGGGGTTGAATCATGCTTAGAATTCGACAAACAACCTCCTCCACCTACCATATGGAAAAGTATGGTAGGAAGGAACAAACGGAAGAGGGAATGATGCTCAGCCCGGAGAATCGTGAGCAAGAGAAGGTGTATACCAAGGAGAACCATGGCTCAAGAGCATTAAGTGCCTATGACAGCTTTCTAAGCTTTCCGAAGGGCGCACCGAAGTTTTGGGAGTCTTTCAACTTAAGAGGGATATCCTCCTCATCCTCCCCAGATGATTCATCACGCGTATCGTGTGCTCCATCACCGCCCGCCTTAACTGTTGACTTTTCTCCAACGGTCCGTGGCTCATCAAAAGGATCGTTTTTCAAAACAGTGGGGGTCGGATCAGTGGACATGGCGTGCTCAAGCTTAGTCGATAAAGCGGCAAGGAATGGCTCATCGGCTGCCGGAAGGTTCCTCAGATGCAGTGGCCCTTTCAACACACGCTCTGGCTCATGGGTGATTGGGTCGAAAGGCACCGGAATGCCACTTGAGTATGGTCGGGGCTCAATAGTTTCCAGTCCGGGTAGAAACCCCGAATTCTCGGGGGCTATGTGAGCAGCGAAACTTGTCCCTTCAGGCTGTGAGTGCTGCCCTAGGACTGTATTTTGAGCATTTTCTTCTATCTGGTGCTTTGGAGTTGCTGCACCGGAACTATTGACTGTATTGGTTGCGTCAGTAGGATCGACAGTATGGAGCCGAGACAGAGACATGGAGTGATTTGGGGTGTGTCCGGCATGCATCGTAAGTCTGTCGGACTCAGGAGCCTGGAGGGCCTCTTTTGTCAACTCTGTTGGTGCGATACGTGGACGAGATGAATCATTCTTTGCCATGGGTGGAGCGGGCCTTTTTGTTCCAGTAGATGGTGAAAGTAGCACTCCATCGGTGAATGTTGATTTTTGGACAGCATCCGGCCTGACACGAATTCCTTCCAGTTCAGGCATGACTTCCTGGATATCTATTGATGGCACTCTATCCTGTTGCGCCTTAGGGGAGATCATCCCCGGTGATGTGCCCTGCATACGCGGATCCAGCGGTATGAAAGGCTTTGATTCTGGCATTGTGGTTCCAAGCATCGAACTGGGTAGAGTGTTTGTTGACGAGTCCTCTGATGGGCTTTGAATCTTACTAGGTGGCTGCATGCGAGCCCTGGGACTACCGGGACCACCTCCTCTTATGCTGCCCACACCAAATTCATCTGCGCCATCAAAGGACTTACCAGCGTTCTTAAGCATGATGGCCAGGTCATTCCTCTGCTTTTCGGCCAACTCTGCCCTCATCTTCCATTCAGACAGGTCTTTCTCCAGCCTTGTCCTCTCTTCAATCCATATCATACGTTCCTCATCCATTATCGCGCGTTCTTCTTGGTAAACTTCCTCGGCTCGCGCACGGTTGGCCTCGAGATGAGCACGCTCAGCGTGCCAGCTTTCCAGAAGTCTTCGATTCTGCTCCTCCCTACGATGGAGCAGGGCCAGTGCAGCCTGGTTGTTCATGTTCATGTTGTCGGGTGGGGATGTCATGCCGTGATTGCTGGCTGATTCCACGGATGGAGATGCAGCACGAGACTTCGATCGGCACACCGTGGGGGACAAGCTTGACGGGTTCTGCTCACAGACGCTTTGGGGGTTCAGGTGTGATGAACGATATTGCGATCGAGATCGTGGAGGTATAGGGTACGAAGGTGAATGTGAATAATTGTTGTAAGGCGATAGATTTGTAACATGTGACTCGTCCAGGTATGACAGATTGTCTATAGCATGCGGTAGGGATAATGGAGATATAACGGATGTGGAAGAGTGGCCGTTAAGATGAGAAGTGAAGGACATGGAGCGTTCGCTCGCATCCATCACGGCCCCCGATGATAGGAAGGAATCAGACGGCAACCTCGTCATGGCGAGCATGATTAAGGAAGCAACGAACGAGTCGTTGTAAGAAGAGAGGGGAAAATGAATAAATTTGTTGCTGCAGATAGGTTGCGCGTCGCAAGAGCTAACTTGATGATCACGAATATCAGGAGAGCTGAGATTCTAGGTTTCCCTAAGTTCACGATAGACTCTCCCAAAATCCAAGAATAAATCGTCCAAGTAATTGCGATGTTGCAAGTGAATCAGTATCAAGCCTTCCATTCATCAACAACTGACGGTAGCCTACCCGGCAAGGACAGGCACGAATTCAACTGTATCGACCCAACTGAGGTAGGGAAGTATCGTCCAACCAATGAACCCTTGAAGTGCGACCACCTGACGAGCTTCGAGCTTCTTTCTCCTGTATGTATAATAACGATGACACTGCCGCCTGCAACAGCCCAAGTAGAGAAGGAGCTTTAAATTCGTAAGTAGTTTCGAGTCGAGTTAGTGAAGTCGTGATAGATCGTAACAAATTGTGATAGGCCGCTCGCTGTATGCGGTACCCGACGTTTCGCAGATTGGCATATACAAGTTGTATAATCGATAGATACCGAGGTTAATCCAGTCTACGTGTGCAACAAGGTCCTAAATTGCGTTCTCGGGTTGTGGCCGGCCTCTACCACCTCCGCCTCACAAGATAATCCTGTGTGTGGGTTGGTATTTGGTGCGAATAGTTTTGTCCTTAGCTTGGCTAGGTCGTCGAATTTGTTCACATGGCAATCGCTTCTTTTCTTTGTTTCTTTTTCTTTTTCTTTTGCTTCTTCTCTTCTTTTTTTTCTTCGTTTCCTCGTTTCTTCGTTTCTCTTTCCAATTTTGTTCGTTTTCTTCCTTATATTTACGTAGACAATAGCTGTTGGGTGGGTTTTGTGGGAAGAAAGTGTATTGTTAGAATATTGAAGGGTAAAAGGTGAAAGGGGACAGGGCGCAAAGACTCAAAAAGGACCGGACAACTTTGAACCTAAAGTTCCCGGGTAGGTTAAGCTTGGTCAGGTACCTACATACGTAAGGCAGGTTCGATGATGGATGGATTTGGCGATGAATCAATTTAATGCGGGTCAGACAGGGGCTCCAGCGAATTTGGAGCATTCAAATTTCATGGATGATACGGCGTAGTAGAACTAATGCTTTCAATGTTCCTTTCCAGATGTTCATTCTAATCTATGTATGAAATTATGAACACTCACAGGTAGTACAAACTTAAATACGTACATGTACCTGCTTTGGTGGATTTTTAAACCCTTTTTTTAGCCTCTCATAAAGTATTTTCTATACACATGTACCCTAGAAAGGTACATACTAGAACGTCAGATATAATTAAAAGTGATCACATACATGTATGTACATAGTAGTACCTACCCTAAGTATACTCGTATACATAACAATTAATAAGTCACATGGGAAACGTTAAAGGCTTGAAGCATCAAGAAGCAGCCGGCCTGTCGGAGCGGATCTGCCTGGCTTTGCGCCAGTGGGCAAAGTGGAACAGCGGGGCATCCTTCCACGTCTGCCACGTCCATGATTCTCTCTCCACAAAATCCACAAATCCACAAATCCACATTCATAGTAGTAGTACTCTGTGAATCTCTATCACTCTCTGTATTACATGTACCTACCCTACATAGACCTACATAGTACATAGAACCCTAGGGCCTAGGTATGTAATTAACTATACATGTATCTCTAATTTCAAAATCCAATATTTTGTGATCCCATCCAGACAAAAGCCAGATCCATTTTCCCCAGGCAATTTCCAATCTGATATCTCTCAATTATAGATATAAGTACATAAGATACATACATGTATATCGCTAGATTCGCTACATGTCATTTATGCAGGCAACATTAAACCTTGTAGGTAATCCAGTTATTTATGTACAAAACCTACATTTACATATATGTAATTCGCTTTCAGAGTAACTACATACATATCTCTTCAATGTTCCTGTGTAGTTGATACTAGTTGTCAAGCAGCACGGCGTCTGGTGTATGTGCTCACACTCACACTCATGCTCATGCTCATGCTCACTCATATTATGCAGTACATATGTATCTACCTAGTAGGATTCTACTGCGTAGTAAGTATCTAATAAGTATACCACAGATGCGGGAATTTGTTATCCGCAGCATGTTGACGATGTTTGATACATAGTTAACTAGGTTACATACATGTAGTACCCAGATAAATGTACCCTCCTTCATGCAAATCTTGCGTCGCATTTTAATATTTTTTTACCGGTTGCTTTTACATTCTACCTAAAGTACTACTACCTCCTCCCACCTATTAGATCCATATATCATGGCCGTTCAGCTAGCCAAGTCAAGGTCTGATTACTGCTATGTAATTGCTAATTGTGAGATACAGACCTGTGTATATATGCCGCTGGTCTCACTCCACCCAATCGTGCTTTGCCAACGCGGCCAACTGTTCGATATACCAATGAACAACCTCCTTCAATATCGGGGATAGTCCGCAGGAGCTTCTAATGCATATGTACAAGTACCTAGGTACTATACTATGTACGTTCAATGTACGTTCAATGTTGTAGAAACATTGAACACCCAAGATGCAAAACGATCCCGCTCCACCAATCACAGACCCCCTAACAAAGATTTATCACGCATAGAATAACTGACATGCGTTCAGCTTCTTACCCTCTTTGGCCCCCACATACCTCGCATACTTCCTCTTATGGTTCATCTTCAGGGTCCCTTTTTTTTCTTTTTTTTTTTACTTTGCCGAACCATCCTCCTCTGTTTGATTTGCTCTCATACAATTAGTACTAGGTATCTAGTCACCTACCTACATACTAATGATCACAACCTACATAAAGTGATACCTTCCCCTATTTAGACTATTCATGGCAATTTCATGCTAAGATCCGGCTTGATTGTTCATGTTGTCCGGAGGCGTTTGCTACTAACCTAATCTGATTACCCATTAATTTATTTCTCAGGAACCATGTCTAAAGGGTCCTAAAGGGTCCTACAAGAACCCCTGGTGGTACACAGTCCTCAATACTACATACCCTTCCTGCCAGGAAACCCCCTCTCATTCCCCCGCGATATGTCTCTTGACATGCACAGGGGTGATTCATTGGGTCAATTGGGCTTGGGAATCTTTCTTCTATGAGCTTCTACTCTGCTTCGTACAATACATACCATGGCGTCTCTGGGGAGTCGTGACACATTGTTTTTACCTCATTTTGCTCTACTTTTCACCAAGCCCCCCCCCCCCCCCACTCGTCAAACGACCATGTGAGTGTTGATTTACGGGGTTCGCAATCAAGGCACGGCAAAACTCCAGGGATCACATTAACTCCACTGAAGAAGCCAATGAAGGAATGAGTACTATTATGCACTGATTGTCGTATAACCCTAAAAGGCATCACAAAAGGGACACACCAGGAAATAAATACTTGAAATGACCCTCCATAGTATGTTGTAATATAGAATATGTATATAGGTTATTCCTTTTCAAAGATGTTAGATTAGATTCAACGTTAGTCATCCATATTTTCATGCTACTTACTTACCTTTCCTAGCCATAGGGCTGAAGTTAGGCCCTGATTATCCATCCTCTTCTCCAAACATTAGAGACTGTTGTTAGAGTCACGGGAGATATCAAATACATATGTAAGAGCTAAGTTCCCTTAGTACATAAGCACCAAGTCTACCTACCTTCGTAGACTATTTGTTATTGGTCAATGGTCAACTGTCAACAGTCCTAACCTACCCTAGGTACTATGTACAGTAACTACATACCTGGTATCTATGTAAAGCTCCTGATCCGAGGCTTAAAGGAGGGCTAAGCAGCCCTGGAGGCTATCAATTTACCTATCACGAGTCGTTTGTCGAAAGGTCCCACCTCATCCAAAGTACGTATATAACCTATTAGTGGTTGTCCGTTCGTAATCGAATTCGACTTCGTCAAGACCGAAAGCCCCGTCGCTTCGTCGCTGTTACGGCAAAATACAACAGCTCGGCCCTTTAGCTATCCAACCTAAACCATGGCAACACACCGCCTTAGGCAGTAGTTCCTATCTCAAGTTGCATGCCAGGCATGACTCTAGAACAAGACAGCAGAGTTGCCGGAGATTCTGTGTGTGGAGAGGGTTAGGTTACTGCCATTTACTGGTACTGTCATCCTAGGCCTTGCCGGCATCGGCTGGCCTACAAACGAGTAGCAGTCCTGGCTGCTCCTAGGATCCACAGTTCCGGCGACTTGGCGGAGTCATTTTTATGTTCAGTCGCACCAGCACAGTGGTTCTCATGACTTCAATCGGAATCAATCCTTTTTCTTCTTTTTTTTCTATACATGTCTTACAATCCACGGCAGTCAGAACTCAATCGTAACCGCAAAGCAGATACGTGAAGGGGCACAGCGATAGCGATAGATGAGCGTGATCAATGTTCACCACAAAATAGCCTTGTATCCTCTATATGCGAGAAGGTTTTATTTAAGCCTTGGATATCCTAACCGGGAGAATTGTATTGTACGTGCAGTGGCTCTATGCTGGTTTCATTCACGTCACCGGCGTGACATGGATTTACCAGCCAGTTGCAGCTCACCCTCACCGCAACAAATTCTGGTAAGCGGTGTCCGCATGGACGCCATAGAATGGAGCTTCCAGTTAATAAACACCGCATTATTGGGCAATTCCTACGATTACCAAATCAATTCGTGAGCGCATACGCTAGTAGCCACCAACCGAGCAGCCCAAACCAAATTCGATAACAAACGGCTCACATAACATGAGCGGGCCGTCAAAATGAGTATGGTTGGGGGGGTTAAAAACGCTTCCTCCCGCACCGGGTCTTGTGGCGTCGAACGGTCTCACCACTATAGCACGTGTGACAGTAACAGAGATTCCAGGGCATGAACCTAAATAGTTATATGTAAGTATTATACCTGCAGTAGTTAGTACCCACATTCCTAAGATTCTGTAAAAGAAAAAAATTTACATAGTAGGTTTCTTGTCGGAATCGTGGGTCCAGACTCCAGCGTGACTCGTCACTCGATAGGTAGGTTTGTATGTAGTATGTACACTATGTAGGTATTCAATGTTGTACATTAATAGTTAACGCATCAG